GCTGACACGTGTGTGTCCACCTGCACGGAGGCCACAGGACCACGACAAGTGTGTGTCCGCCAAGGTCCAGCCAGAGCCACACGCCACCCCGCCACCCGGGAAAGGACAGCGTTCCGACTGCTCCCAGCACATTAGATGCCCAGTCAGCACGCCTGACATTCACAAGGTCCATTGGAAGAAAAGTCAACAAGGCAGTGAAGCAATTATTTGATCTGCTTCAATGACAGCAGGACCTGTGAACACACAGACACACACATAAGCAGGGCAAACCGCTGTGCTTCCTCAGAGGCAAAATCTTCCTGGGCTCTGGTCCATGGCAGGCTGTACTTGCTCCATCTGTTTTTCTTAAAACACCACACTCATCCTCTGAAATTCTTACCTAAGGCTAACGGTGCCAAGCAGTGGGAAACAGGCACAGCAGTGACACAACTGTGAGTAAGGTTTTCCAAGGTCATGCCACCTTTCCATTTTTTATTTATGTTTCTTTGTTGGGGTCTCACTCTGTCTCCAGGCTGGAGTGCAGTGGTATGATGACAAATCACTGTGGCCTCAACCCCCTGGGCTCAGGCGATCCTTCCGCCTCAGCCTCCCGAATAGTTGGGACTACAGGTGTGCACCAACACATCCAGCTCTTTTTTTTTTTTTCATAGAGATGAGGTCTAGCCAAGTTGTCAGGCCTCAAACCCCCAGGCTCAGGCAATCCTCTCACCTTGGCCTCCTAAAGTGCTGGGATTATAGGCTGAGCCTCCACGCCCAGCCTGTGTTCTTATTTGTTTTAATTCACTAAGATCCCTTGGCATGGTTTGAGTTGTGACAGAATTTCCTTCATCTTCTAATGTCTTAATAATATTCTTAAAAAAATCAACTTCACCCAAGGTAGGTTCATTTTTACCAGTCCAGAATCCAGATCAAGCAAGCACAGCCTGCCATGGACCAGAGCCCAGGAGGGTTTTTTGCCTCTGAGGAAGCACAGTGGTTCACCCTGCTAACCTGTGTGTTCACAGGTCCTGCTGTCGTTGGGACAGATCAAATAGCTGCTTCACTCCCCTTGTTGACTTTTCTACCACTCAGCAAGATTAGTGTTTAATAGGTCTAACGTGCATAGGCTTTTCATGCAGAAAGAGTGGACTTTCAACCACACAGTATTTTCTGCTCTAAAAACGTTCAGAAGAATCAGAATATGGGGAGTGAACCCAACCACAAGGGGGGACAGGCAGTAGGACGTCGGCAGGAGGAGTAATCCCTGAGTCCCCAGCAACAGCTCCTGTGACTCAGTCAAATAATTACTGGGATGATGCCCATCATGTCCTGGACTCTGTGAACAAGAAACACACTTCTTCCTGCATGCGGGGTAGCTAGTACAGAGACCATGTGACACTGAACAGTGAGGGATGGGGCTTGTCATGCCCGGTGTCTGTCTCCTGGGAGCTTACAACCTGCCATGGTGGATGACCACAGGACAGTGTCAGGAGAGATGCCCGTGGGCACAGACCATTCCACCCCTCAGTCCATTCAACCCAGTCAGGAAGAGCCATCATATCTGCTTCTTGGCAAAGGGCTAGCCAGCTCTCCTCATGTTCCTTTCGCCTGGTCTGTGGTCAGGGACATTTCAACCATGGGCTCCTGAACAGCTGAGGACCGCAGGCCACATGCAGCATGGCTGTCGATGTGAACTCCCAGCCACTGTCAACCTGGTGTCTGGTCTCACTGCACTGACCAGAATACTTACAAAAACAAGGTCTGGGCTCAGTCCTCTTAGTGTGGACTCCCAGGGCAGGAATGATACACTTGAAGATCATGTGATTTAAGACAGGGAAGCGAGAAGCCTTGCTGAAGAGTCCCTTAAGACCAAGGATTCGGCCCTCCCGAAGGGAAACATGACCCAATTCAACCTGGTTTTCCTGAAGCTATTGATCAGGAAAGGTCATTGTCACAAGACACCCTGAGATCCCTGTTTCCTGACAAAGAAGCACAACCAGTTCTGCACCTGGAAGTTAACCCAGCTTAAATGTATGTGTGAGTTATAAAAATAAAGGCACTGCTACTGAGGAAAGATGTGTGCCTTTAAACTCTCAGGTACAGGATATTTCGGTACACTGGCTTCTTTACAATTTGGCCGCTAACAGTAATAAGTTATGTTGGTCTTCCTAGTTGAAAACTCTTACAGACTGATTTCTCAAAGTTCAGTCTAGTCTGGCCCTGACATGCAGCTTTTAATTAAGCATGGTAGGATAACAGAAATGCCTTTCACCTGATTTTTTTAAAGCCGGGGGGGGGGGGGGGGAAGGCTGGGCACAGTGACTCATGCCTATTATCTTAGCACTTTGGGGGGTTGAGGCAGGAGGATTGCTTGAGGCCAGGAGTTCAAAACCAGCCTGGGCAACATAGCGAGAGCTTGTCTCTATAAAAAAAAAAAATTTTTTTTGAGTCAGAGTCTCACTCCATCGCCCAGGATGGAGTGCAGTGGCACACATGCTCACAGTCACCCCAGTATCGACCTGCCGGGCTTGAGCAATCCTTCCACCTCAGCCTTCCAAGTTGCCAGAACTACAGGCACACGCTACTGCACCCGGTTCATCTTTGATTTATTGTAGAGATGGGGGTCTCACCAAGTTGCCTAGGCTGGTCTCGAACCCACGGGCTCAGGTAAGCTACTTGCCTCGGCCTCCCAAAGTGCTAGGATTACAGGCTGAACCACCAAACCCACCCCCAAAATGTTTTTAAATGATACATTTTTTGCCAGACATGGTGGCTCATGCCTGTAATTCCAGCACTTTGGGAGTTTGAGGCAAAAGGATTGCCTGAGCCCAGGGTTTGAGACCAGCCTGGGTAACATGGCGAGACCTCCTCTCTACAATAAATCAAAAAATTAGCCAGGTGTGGTGGCGCATGCCTGTACTTCCAGCTAGGAAGGCTGAGGTAGAAGGATCACTCGAGACCAGCAGGTTGAGGCTGCGGTAGCCGTGAGCATGCCACTGCACTTCAGCCTGGGTGACAGTGAGACTCCGACTCAAAATAATAATAATAATAATAATAATGACAATAATTTTTTAAAAGGGGGGTAAAATCTTACCCACAACCCCCACGTACTCCCCGATGCCTGAAAGGACTTTAAAATGGTCAAAACATTACAAAACAAGGCCTGAAATACAAATGCTCCAAGAAATGGAAGAAAGGGCTTTCCACTAGGAACCCTGGGGTTTTCTCTTAGTTACCAAAGGGGTTGGAAGTGGTTCCACAAAATGGAAGACAAAATGGTCACAGAACAGAAGCATCTAGCTTCAGCATGGGCAGACTCGGCTCTCAGCACCATTGTCTTGTGCGGCCTGTGAGATAAGATGGTTTTACATTTTTAAATGGCTGGAAAAATATATTTAATAACATTTTGCGACTCATGAAAATTAAATGAACCAGTTCCTTGTTGATCGGTAAGATGGGTTTTGCTGGCGCACAGCCAGGCCCATCTGTCCTCGGATGATTTGCAGCTGCTTTCACTCAATGAGCGCTGAGACAGAGACTGCATGACCCACGAAGGCTGAAGTTGCCTTGTGGTCTCTGGTGGGATGGTGAGGCTCAAGAATGTTCCAGATCTCAGGGTGGGTGGCAGGGCCGTGGATGTCCACACTATCATTATTTGTCCCTCACTTGCATAAGTAATCAATTCTGTGATATATATCAATAATCGTAGTAAGCACTTTGAGAGGCTGAGGCCTGAGGACTGCTTGAGCCCAAAAGTTTGAGACCAGCCTGGGTAACAGAGTGAGACCTCATCTCTACAAAAAATAAAACAAACAAAATTAACCGGGCATGGTGGTGTGCACCTGAAGTCCCAGTTTCTTGGGAGGCTGAGGTAGGAGAATCACCTGAGCCAGGAGGTGGAGGCTGTGGTGAACCATGATTGTGCCAGTGCACTCCAAGCCTGGGGACAGAACAAGACCCTGACTCAAAAAATTAAAAGTAAATGATGAGCCGGGTTTGGCTCAGCCTGTAATCCCGTGCCTTGGGAGGCTGAGGTGAGTGGATTGCCGGAGCCCGCGGGTTCACGGCCCGCCTGGGCAACTTGGTGAGACCTCATCTCTACAATAAGTCAAAAATTAGCTGGGCGTGGTAGCACACGCCTGTAATTCCGGCTACTCGGAAGGCTGAG